AAATACAATGAAAAAGGTGGATGTTTTTTATCAATAACATCCATCAAAAGTAAGATGAAGACCTTTTCCAATAAAAAAAATAAGATCTAGGCAAGTTAACATTCTACTTTCTATCCTTATTGTAGCTCTTTTATATTTGTAACATTAAAGAGATGGAAAACCAACAACCACCAGATTTGACTCAAGAGCCCTCATCTGTTAGATGAGACACTATTGATGCTTGAGAGGCCTTATCAACCATCTTCAAAGAAAACAAAGATTAAAATATATAGGAAATACAATTCGCCGCATCTTGGATTTCTTCAACATATGATGAGTACTCCTCATAGAACTTGTCTTTAAAAAGAGGGGTGGTATCATAGACATATACATGTAAACGAATAATTACCTATATGATCACATAAAAATAGATAAAAATATGTTAATTCTATAATATCTTCTATAGAAGCTTCTTAGAAGCTTCATAAATACTATTTTGACTTTATAGGTGTCTATAATTGATTTTTTAGGTTAGAAATGAGGCCAATAAATTAACCATGTGCCACACATGTTAGTAGCTTGAAGAACAAGCTAATTATATAGCATATATATAGAAAACTTGCCTTATAAATTAAAGCATGTATCTTGCAAAGTCAACACATATTTGAAGTCTTATAGAATATTGTCACTTAGCTCTTAGTTAGATAGTATATATAAAGGTAAGAATGAAGGCCTCTTTACTCTTAACAATTTTTTTCTTACTTTTAGTCTAGATTCAAGAATCTCTAGTTTTCTTGTCTTTGGCAATAGCCATTCCAATTTCTTTTTAATATACATACTACTTTATTTCTATTTTGTCACTTTTCTTTTGACATAGATTTTCCATGCTTATGTATCTTTTCTAGTTAATGTCCTTGACACTTTGATATGATTATGATATTTTCAAGATTCAAACTTAATAAGATTTGGACTTCTTTTTTAATAATACTATTTGTATGATGACCTTAAAATGATATGGTTTTTGTGATACTTTTGGAATGCAACTATGTTGACATACATATAACCATAATATTATCTCTTGCATATAATTCTTCTTGAACTTGCTCAATTTCTTTCCAATTGCATGGATCAAATTCAGCATATCTTTCAAGTCCAATGTTGAATGTAACCTCTTCTTTTTTGTAACCTCACAAATGATATTATAAAACTACTTTAATTCTAAGAAAATCTCTTAAAATATTTTTTTGTTCAACCTTTGCATCAAAACAACTAATTGTCAATCTCTTATACAACTTCTTATTACTACATATATTTTTACAATAATTCAAAATAAATCTTCTAATAATAGTAGAAAAATATGAATATAAGATTCAATAATTATTTTTATATCTTTCTATCTTTTTTTCTAATGTAAACAATAAGTTCTTGCATTATCTTGCATTAAAAGGTTTTTCTTTTTGATTTTGAATGCTTGTAAATTCTAATTTTAAAAAATCCATGTTCAAAAAAAGTTCTATTTATTTGAAGAAATTGGCACAAATACACCACTTGTATGTGCACATTACATTATCCATCAAAATCCAAGCAACTTCAATCAAATTTACATGCATCTTTCAAAATTTCTTTTAACCTTTAATTTTTTAAAAACAAGATCAATAATATAAGTACATCAAAAGACTTTGTAGTTCAACTCTCAAACTTGTCTTTACAAAAATTTCGTGTTTTGAAGTATCTTTTTTAAAACAAGACTTAACTATTTGAATTTTTTGTCTAGTATATAAGACAAAGTTTATAAGAAAAACTCCATTTGTTTGAAAAACCTTCCAAATGTATATTAAATACACATGTATGTTGTAAAATCTATTAATGAATAAATAAATAAATAAATCATATACTTGTTTTATATCTTTTTAATATTTTTAACTAACTCTTTATTGAAACATAGCAAAAAAAAATTAAATTATTTAAAAATACCTTACATTATAACAATCATTCATCTATATATATTAATGCTATGTTTATAAAATTTATTTTTTGGTACTAAATCCATTTATTGTTATTGCTTACTTAATACACAAAACAAAGTCTCCAAAAATATTACAGTTACAATCTATTGTCTATCTATCCACTACTAGTATACTTCAACATAAGCAATTAAAAATCTCTAATAAATTGCAACAAAATTATGAGAAATTACAAGGACTATAAAAGGTCAAAACAACTAGTGCTAGCTAGTCTAATTAATTTTATTTTTAATTCATTTACAATCTTCTATTTTAAAACCACCTATCAAATTAAATATCTATACATCTTTATTTTAGAGCAGTAACTTTTAAAAAAAGCCTATATATTTATATTCTTGAATTTCAAAAACTAGTGTATTCTTATTCATTTTATTATATTTATATTTGTTTTATCATACCTTGGTTTTTTATTTTAAATATAATTAGAATTTGAAAATTTTATTTGATGATACGATAAAACTAAATAAACACAATGCATGGATTGTGTGTGAATGGAGATCACTGACAATAGTAAAAAGAAATTTAATCAGAGGCATGACTAAGACCTTTACTCGACCAGTTCTAAAACCCACTAGATTATGTAGTGTGAGCATCAGCCCCTATGCTCACACTACATAAGCAACAAAATAAAGCGAGGTGATCTCACCTATGGCAATGCTACAAGCTCAATTACCATCCTTCAGTCAAGCAGCCGCCCCGATCTCCTCGATGCTCGGATTTCGGTGATAGTTTGTTGGATTCAGACGTTACGGGGCTTCAACACCACCAAAATTCGTAGCAATCGAATGATTGAGCGTTGAACCTTGCTTCTCCAAATCTAAGTAATCCAAACTGCCAAGGCAGTGGACCACTCGAATTGTTCCCAACTTGACTCCAATTTCAATGATACTTGCTTGCTCGGAAAGCTAAGATAGACAGGTTTCTACCCGAGGAAATTCAAAAATCCAAGAGACCGATTGAAAGAAAAGCGAGGCTCCCAAACAAAGTAGAGACTAACGAATAATGGTGAAACTAACTGTGTTGAGGAGTGCACTCACAGGTCGGAAAGCTAACACAGAGAGGCTCCTACCAGAGGAAATTCACCAACCCAACAGACTGATTGCAGGAAAACCGAGGCTCCCCCAACTAAGAAACGACTCACGAACAATGGTGTATCTAACTGTGTTAAGCACTACACTCCCAGAGCTACCAAGATCCAGCGAACATCAGCATCAGAACTGAAGTGTTTTTGTGGAAAAAAACAGAAAGTAAACAACCCAAATAGGATTCTCCTGGCTTGGGCGACCAACTTCTAGTAATGGATGCGTGAGAGAATAATCGAGAAAACAGAAGAGAGGAAACGAAAGAAAGAGAGAGAGGACACCAGAAAAAGCGAGCCGAGGAAAAAGTAGAGTAGGCAGGCGGACCAAGAGAGGGAGAGAGTCTAGAGACCCCCCTCGTGAAGGAACTGTTCCCGGACCTGGCATTCGGCTTCCGCTTCCACCGTTCCTGCGTCAACCACATGATTGCTCATCGTGATAGGACACATTTAAGGTTAGACTGAACATACGTGAGAGTATCTGCCACTGTTCAATCCCACGTCACGGAATTGACCACCGCACACACGCCACCCTCGTTGAAATCTTCCAAAACTGGAGGCTGGTAGTCCAGCGTTGATTTATTGAGCTCCGAGACCCATTTCTCCGGCTACCCCCTAAATTGGGTGCTGGCCAGCAGATCCCCCGTGTCCATCCTTCCGAATGAATGGAACGTTTGACGATAGTCTGGCATCCTCTCCTGTTGTGAATGCAGAACACTGTTGCAAGCATTCAAAGGAAATCTAATTAAACAATTAATAAAGACATTCAAAAGCTAGAAAGAATCTCTTTACAACAGATTGCTTGATGCAGGTGGCAGTCTTTCTGTGTAGGATGGGTGAATGTCCACAAGAAATTCAAGACTAGGGATATAAATGGGGTCGGTGATGTAACTGATTAGAGGTTCTGTTTCGGCACCAACCATTGAGCTCTGCTGAATCCACCGTCCTCGCCAGACCTCCACTTGTCTACTGCAGAGGCAAGACTACGAGGTGCCTTCGTTTTGCTGTTCCGGCAGAGCACTATTATCGCAGAGAAACCTCTCACCTCGTCGACCCCTCTTGCTTCAGACTACCTCATTCGTATCAGACTGATCTTGAGTTCCATCCATATCCAACTGACATGCTTCATCGTCTTATTGTCCAAGATCATTTGGCATCGTCCAAAGCGACCCTTGGCACATGTGACATAAAAATTGCTTAAGATATCTTATGCTGCTGTTGTAAAAGAATGAATACATGCTTTTTAAAATAAAAAATGAAGTACATATGAAAGCATTTTATTCAGATAAGTTAATTGTTATTTCTGTGAAACAAGAACATATAAAAATACACAATTTCTTTCATTCTGATGTTTACTGATATAACAAAGTATTTCTTGTGAATATGAATTTTGTGCTTTTGGTTGTACGCTACTGCTACTAATAATATTATTATTGGAATCATTTTTTCTTCTTAGATCAAAAAAAATAAGTATAAAAAAATATTCTAATAAAATTACCTTTATTGGATTTTGATATATCAAAAAAAGGAAAAAAATATATATATCTAATTTCCAATTAAAACCAAGTGATGCTTCTTCTAATATTATGGTTACCCTCTAAAAAGTTTAACTAGGACCAAAAAGAAAACCAAAGGTATATTAGAAGAATTACTATAAAAAGAAACATGAGTAACAATGAGATAACATACACCCCAAATTTTTGATTTCAACTCATAAGTTTGGAAAATTCTCAACAAAAAACAAGAATAATACAAATGGAGATACCAAACAAAGCATCAATTTGGTTTTGAGAAGACATTGATTTACCCACTGAATCATCAATTTCTTAATAAAATTCATCCGCTGTTTCATTCATCCATTTATGCGTTGTGCGAGGGACTGCATGGAGCGAGGGCCTCGTTACTCCGCCCTGGATGGCGAAACCCTAATTTGCGCTCGACAGCACCTCCATGGCTCTCACTCACTTTGCAGAAGAGGAAGGAGAAGAAAAGAAAGCTCGAATTTGTGTCATGCCTGTTCTCTGTTGATGGATTACACCCCAGCCTTATCTGTCTTGTGACCATGATCATGCCCACAATCTCTGCTGCGTATCAGGATTTGAAGGGCTGGGGGTGTTTGTCTGACGAGGATCATACGTAGCCCCACTCTGCAGTTGAAATGCACATGGGGCTCGCTGTGTGGAGCGGGCTCTCTGCCCAGTGTTGTCCCACGCTGCCAATTCTCCGCACTCACAGTAGTGGAGCCAGCAGCATTGTTCCCTCAATTGCAAGCAGAACCAATTTTTGGGATGGCCGGGTTGAGGTGTGGCGACGACGCGAACGTGCTGCAGGATGGGAATGTGGCTGGTTTGTGGAGAGTGTTGCAGAATCCATGTCTATACGGAGGGGGATGTTAGTTGTGACGAATGCTAGTAAAAGGAGGCGGTGGAAAAGCGAGCCCTTGGTGAATGGTAGCGTAACAAAGAGAGCACTGCATATCGTCAAAATCTTACGCTCATCGAGTAATCTTTTGCCGGATGAAATCGATGCAACTTTGCAGAAATGGGTGACCAGTATGCAGCCGAATCGAAAGGATTGGCTTACTGTGCTGAAGGAGTTTGACAACAGGTTGGAACGACTTCTCTACTTAAAGGTACGGTGTTGTGTTGCGCTGCTTACATCGATTTGAGGAAAGTATCCATGCTGAGGTGATTTTGGTCGATTTTTTAATGTTTCCAGCAGCTTGTGCATTTTGGTGTGTGAGTCCTTCAGAATTGAGTGAATCCATCACTTTGGTAGGCTTTTAGAGAGCACTGGATATGTCGTGAAGTGACAAATCTGAGCCCTACAGATATTCGAATGGGGGCTCCTGCAAAGCTGGTTTGAGGCGGGCGTTCGAGACTATACCAAATTGATTGATAAGTATGGCAGGGAAGGGAATGTCGTTGAAGCGGAGCAGATGTTCCGCATTATGGAAGAACGCGGAATACCGGCGGATTTAGGTGCTTTCACCGTGCTGATAGCAGCTTATGGACGGGCTAAAATGCTGGAAAAGGTTAAGCAAGTACTGCAGGATGTGTCGCTAGCAGGTCTGGAACTAGATGCCGTTTTTTACAAAACTGTGATTGTAGCTTACGGAAGCGTAGGAATGCCTAAAGAAGCGGAGGATGTATTAAGCAGCATGGAATCAGCTGGGGTGCCAGATGGGAAAGACGCCTACCTTGCTTTACTGAATGCATATGGGAGGCTAGGCCATGCTTCTGACGCCCAAAGGGTATTCGACCGAATGCATTTGAAGGGTTTTAGAGGGGATTTGAAAGCTTTTACTGCACTGTTGGAAGCTTACAGCAATGCACAAGACTATGCAAACGCAGAGCTCGTCTTTCAGAGCCTCAGAGCGGCAGGTCTAAAACCTGACGATAGAGCACTCGCAAGTATGGTTTCAGTCTATGCCAAAGCGAACATGTTAAACAGGGCTGCGGAGGTCATAGTGGAGTTGGAGGGTGCTGGGATGAGATTTGGGCCAGTTACTCTGACGTCCCTAATTGGATGGTTTGGTAAAGCTGGGCTGGTGGAGGAGGCCAAGCATTGCTTCCAGGAATTGAAACGAAAGCGCCTGCCCATTTCAGGAAAAGCATATGCAAATATGTTTGCTGCCTATGCTCGAGCTGGTGAGCTTGAAACTGCTGGCAGCATCTGGGCCAGTATTGAAGAAGCCGGAATCGAACTAGATCACCGCGAATGTGCAGTCATGGCGGAGGCTCTGCTAGCTGGGAAGGTCCATGAACAGAGCGTCGAGATCTTCTTTGAAGCGTTGCAAGCCCGAGGGTGGAAGTCACTGACAGCTGTGGAGGTTGCAGTCGCTGATCGCAGGCAAGTGATGGCTTGAACTGGACTACACATCACTCAACTTCAGTCTCGCTGAATTAGACATGTCCTGGAACGAGATTCAGGGGAATGTATGCAGACATGGCTTGCGTCCTCGAGTATTCAATTCAGTCCCTTGAAGTAACCATATTTGTGCAATGTGATAAATGGTAGCATCCACTTCGTGCAGCATATTGGCTCCTTTCACGGATGCGTTCCTTCACGTGGCTCGTTCTGTGAGAAACGGGACAGTAATATTTGACCCCTACGGATTGTGGATGGATGCGTAGGCGGGTATATTGTGTGGTATTATCAGTGCCTCACATGTCTCTTGGGAGACATCTGATTAAATCAGAACGATACAGAGAAGATTAATATGGCTTGCGCTCGGATGACTCACTCAAACCGAGAGAATAGTCCGAATTTTTTTCTGTTTTTCTGGCTCGCTCATTGTTCCTTTAGTAGTCTGCAATCTCGATTTTCTTTTTGTCACGGTTGTTCACAATCATCGTGGCTGATCAAATCCCCTATTCCATGTGTACCGTGCTCGCATGCAAATAGCCGAGGGTGCTATTTCCACGAAAGCAAGCATGGTATGGTATGTTGATGTCTTGTGTAAAGGAGGCAAGTATGGCTGGAGATGAGATCCAGTGTGGCGGACAAGAAGTATATACTGTGTTCCTCCACGATATGATTGGAGTGAGGAATAATGATGGAGAATGAGGACACGCATCCAATTGAGTTGCTGCAGCCAGCGTGTAGACGCGTTTTAGCAATGGATGCGTTCATGTGATTGGTTGTGTGAGAAAAGGAATCGGAAATGTGTTGATACATATGGATTGGAGGTGGATGATTAGAGGGTAATATTACACGGCGGTACAACATCTGTGCGTGTCATTTCGGAGACATCTGCGCGAAGTATTGACCCACATGGATTGAAGGTGGATGTTTGGAGGGTAATATGCGATGGTGGAAGAGCAGGAGTACATGTCTCTTCGGAGACATGTGATAAAATTGGAACGATACAGAGAAGATTAGCATGGCCCCTGCGCAAGGATGACACGCACAAATCGAGAAATGGTCCAAATTTTTTCCTTAACTTTTCGCTGATAGCCAAAGGAGCAAATTAGTGAAGCTATTCATCAAAAATGAACGTTGGCTCTAAGACATGTTTGTTGTTCTCTCTCTGAATTTGGAGGCTATTTGCTGTTCAGCTATTATAGCTGACTAAGTGAATCTCTGGTGTTATTCTTCTTGAAGCGAAAACTTTGATACACATTTTAGCCCAAAAAGTAGCTTGCTGAGCGCTTCATAGCGCTTGGATTGTCAACTCAGATTCTTCTGAGTTACAATGAATAAGCCTCAATTGAAATCAGTCAACGAATTGTGGACAAAAAAAGCTGCCAGTTTTTAGCGTGACTTATGTCCTATATCTTGATGTGACTTAATTTGAGCTCAATCAGATTATCCGCTTCCATCTTGTTCAATATATCTTTCTTAAAACCTCATATCACATTGGAAGTATGCTGATGCTTTCGGTGCTCCCAGTGATTCAAATCATGACACGACCTGCCTAGGGACTTTGTGGGTAGCCTATTAGTCGTCCAGTGGATAGATATTGCTGCTGGTCCTGTTGAATTTGGTCCCTCCACTTCAGGAGAGGGCTACTTCAGCTTTTATAATTACTGTCTTGGATTCGGCGTCACACTGAACAATCTTTAAAATTTAGTGGTTACTGATCAACATTTTAGCTGATGACGAATGCCTTCATTACATGCAACGCGATTCTTACCTACATTTCATGGTGATACACTGAGCGTTGATGTTATTGCGCTTCGAATTCAAAGTCACATGGTGGGGTTGAGAAATAAGTCATTAGTTCCTCAAGTCGAACCAGATGAACATGATAAGTAGTAACAGTTGCTAGTTCTTGTCCCTGCTTGCCAGATCACGAAGTTTGCAGTGCTATTCCTTACAACACGTCCAGAATTTGTTCTCAACACCAACTTTGCATGTTGTCTCACTTAGATTGCGACTTGGTTTCCAGAATCCGACTCTGCGCTGCGTCTCACATGGCTTTTTGATATTTTCAGGTGATTACCGCTGCTAGAACCATAGTGCCTCAAGCGATGATGGAGCTCAGTTGTTACGGGCGTCAATTGCTGACGTCGACAAAGAGTCTAGAAAGCCTTACAACTGGTGCGCTTCTTCAAAGTCTCTTTGAGGTGGCACCCACCCATGTCACGTGGAGTTCTCAGCATAACAGCATAGTGATGGATTATCGACGGGGGTATTGGTCACACTAAAATTGGGCCGTTTCCAGAGGGTTCTAGCAGTTGGGCACGGTAATACTCTTGGTATACACCTGAAACAAGCGAGACAAATATGTTGTGAATAAAAATTTTAAAACTCTAACAGTACAGTCCCATTCAATGGCATTTCGTTTCACATGTCTGTTCTCTCAAAGCATGAGCTTCAGTATTCTCTTGAAATCTCAGTCGCATACGATGGAATTGTGGCGATGAGTAGTGAACGTAGACTAACAGCTTACTTCAAATGACGACAATAACTTGGCAAATATGCGTGCTGCATCCGAACATCACCATCTGTGGTGGAGTAAACTTATTCGACTTTTACCTCTTGTTGGTTTCATGACAACTAATATGGATTTCTGTACAATAATGTAGATAATGCGACGTCTCTCCTGTACTAGTTGAACAAGGCAAACAAGAGATTGCTGTGCCTCAAAATCCCAGTCAGTTACTTCGATCTTGGGAGACCTGAAACATAAACCCTTGGCAACTAAATCGCTGGAAGGTCAAGGGACAAGAAGGCTTACTTAATTAAGATTATGAAATGGGACACGACCTTTTGTGGAACTACATTGTGTGTAGTCTTTGCAGAGGATGAATGAGGTGGTAATAAAACTGTTGATGTGGTGCAAGGAGACGATGCGACAGAACCCTTGAGCTCCACCCACAGCAAAAATTTCATTTTTCATCTGCAAATGCCGTTAATGAATCCTTGTTTCTCCGAGGTTGTCAATGCTGGGGGTTCAGTTTAGAAAGTGCTGGCTGGTGACTATGAATACATTGGAGAGAAAATTGTGCATGACCTCAAGAGCGTGTGCTTTGCCAGCATAAACCCTGCAGCTGTGGATTCAATCCCCTCTTTACCTCCATTTACATGCTTGGGAACTTCGGGTATATTTAGGCTACCTTCAACTTTGCATGAGTGGACTATAAAATGATAATATTGGAAAGTGATAATAGAACCTGTAAAGAAGGATTTGAAAGAATCAACCCATTTGTTGAATATTTTTTTTACTTATTTTTTTATAGTTATCCACCAGTCTAATTCTTAAAAATAAATAAATAAATATGAGTAAAATTATGAATACTTCAATAATGGAGAAGAACTTAAAACGCTTTGAAAGTATTCTTCCAACTATTCCTAAAGAATATTTAGAAAAACGAAAAAAACACATTGAAGAAAAAACCATTCAATTAGCTGAAGAAGCTAAATTCTATGAAAAAGAAAGAAGGGAAGAACGTCTTTATAAAAAGAGGTGGAAAATAGAAAATGCAGAAATAAAACAAAGAGATATAGAAAGAAGTCGAGCTAGAGAGAGGCTAAGAGAAAGAATTCTTCAACTTGAAAAACAACGAGATGTTGAAAGAGTTAGAAAAGAAGAAATTGCATTCATTAAAGAGAGACAACGAGGGCGAGATTTACAAAGACAAAAAAATGAGAAAAGAGAAAAAGAAAGATCCCTAGAGCGAGCACATGAACGAGGCTTAAAAGATGATAGAAACCAAGAAAAAGATGCAATTAGAGCAAATGCTTTAGAAAGAGCAAAAACTAGAAAACGTTGGAGATTAGCTGAACGTAGACGAGAAAAGAAAAGAAAAATTATATGGCAAGAAGAAAGAAAAAAAGAACTTCAAGAAAAGACCAAGTGGAATATGGAAAGACAACACGATAAAGAACGAAGATATGAAATGCATAAAGAAAGAGAACAAGAAAGAAACAATGAACGAGTAGATTTACATTGTCAAATAATAGAAACTTGGAATGAAGGTAGACGAGAAAGACTACGTATAAAAGAACATGATCTCAATTGTCTTAATCAAAAGAAATTAGATATGGAGTATATGAATGAAATATGGAAACATGCAAAAAGAAATTATGAGAAAAATAAAGCTAATTACCAACATGACACAGAAGTAGCAAAATTAAAAATAAAAAATTGCTCTTTGGCAAAGATGGCATGGGATGATGAATGCACAGACAAGAGAGATTGGCAAAAAGAACAAGAACGTGATAAGCTAAATTGCAAAAAATGGAATTCACAATTAAAAAGACTTTTGTTTAGATTCAAAAATTCTTAAATAAAGTTATGTATATATAAATATATATGTATAAGTATGTATCTTATAGCATATTTTAAAATTTTAAATTATCAAAATAACATCAAAATATATTATCTTACCATAGATAATATAATAATAACAACAAATTTGTTTAAAGATAAAAAAATATGTCAATTATAATCTTGAATCTGTGTTTTAATATTTTTGTATTGATAAATTTGTATAAAAATAAGATTATTTATTTATTTGAATCTTGTCATAATATGAGAAAATTATTTTATTAATTATTTTATGTATTTTTAAAAATATATCCTATTAAAATATGAAGTATTTCCATATAATTGTGTTTATAATTTTTATCAATTTAAAATTATGCAGATATTATTTTAAATATATTATGATAAAAAAAAAATTTAGAAAAAATCATTATATTTAACAGCGATAATAGATGCTCAAAGAATTACCAACAACAAATTTATTGACTTAAAAGATATCAGATAATGAAATATTTTTAAAGGAAATTATATTTCTTACACAAAATCATTGTAACAAAAATAAGAGTATTTTTAAAAATATTTCTATTTTAAATAAGAAGAATTTAATATCAATATTTAGAAAAAACTATTGTGTTTTAGAAATAATTTTAACAGTAATTCGTTTTTGTAGTAGTAGTCACCAACATGTAGCAATGATATTAGAGTTTATATGAATTCACTTTATTTTTAGTAATAATTTGTTATAAACTGAGAATACAAGTTTTGAAGTAGCTTTTGGTGGCAACTTGAGGTATTATAAAGATTGATTTTAGATTTTAAAAACATATGTTGTAGAGTATCTTTTTGATTGATTTCAACATGTGTTGGTCATTGAAATAAAATAAAATAAAATAATTTACTTATAAGAAGATCACTTGGAAGTGGTGTTAGAATTTTCGATGAAGCTAAGATGCAAATGCCATCAAAGGAAATAATATATTTGGTAAAGCAGTACTGCCATATAATTTTGAAATAAAGGAAAATTTAAAAAATCAGCCATAAATAAATTAACCTAGATTTTGAATATTTAGGTAATCAAAGAAAAAAAAGTAAAAAAATTGGGTTGAGCCACTAATAATTTATTTGCATGTGTGGATTAACACAATTTTATTTTTTCTAATTTATATAGGTGTCAAAGCAAAAATCATGAAAAAGCTAAAATGTCCTTGAACAAAATTCGTATTAAAGCTTGCAATATTATTTTAACAATTCAGAATATATATAAATTCATTCATAAGTATGTAGTCCTTGAAGTTACTTCTAAAATACAAAACACATCTAATATTCCATAATATAGATCACTAAAATAATTTAATAAAATCACAGTGCATTAAGAACATAATCGAGTGGTTTGACCACCACTCCAATAGCTAAAATAAACAAATAAAAATAACATTTAAAAAGGAAATTTAAATTATCAGATAAATACAAGTAACTGATAAAGTGAAATAAATTACTAATATTATATATATATATATATATATATATCGAGAGAGAGAGATAAAATTAAAAAGCAGTATCTCTCTCACTCACTATAAGACGTAAGAATGACAAGAGAAACAAAAAAAAAAAAGAAAAAAAAAGAAAAAAAAAAACTTCGGAAAAAGCGAGAGACCCCACGAGAATGCGAGGGACAAGAATGAAAGCATGTGATAAACTTGCCATACAATTAAGCAAATCAAGCGGTGGAATGCGAACAAAGTAGTGCATCAAGCGAAATCCACCAGGGCATGCAGGAGCCGCGGACGCAGACGCGCGGTCGCGTTGATCCGTAAAGCATGGGGAAACCTGAAAGGAAGCACCGCCGCTAGCCGCCGGTGACGCAGCCATCCATCCGCAGCGTGAGCTGCACGTCTCCACGCAGCAGCGGTGCTTGGATCTGGCCCACCCGTATCGCTGCTCACTTATAATAATAATCCAGCAGCAGCAGCCCCGGATCAAGAGTTTTTTTTTACGTTGCTAAGTGAACAGCCAGCTGAAGCGGTGCTCTTTTCTGAGAGCGCCACTGCAGCGCGCATTCAATTGGCTGCGAATTTCTCTTTTTCCAGAAGCAGCTTCCAGCAGCGGCGAGGCTGATCGGCCGCGCACCGCGAGTTTCATAAATTGGACTGGGGATTTGTGGGTGGTTTGTGTTTCGCTGAGATTTGGAGCTGATTCTTGGACTGCGAGGTGTTTTGACTGTTCCGAGGGGTGGAGTAGTTTTCAGCTTGACTTTGTTGTTCGATTTCTCTTGGCAATGGGTACAACAGTGGCTCCAGCTTTGAGTTTGCCATGCCGCTCGAGTTTGAAGCGGGTCACCACCTCGGCGCATCAAAGTGCGTGCCCGACGACGCAGTTCTGCACAGTGAACTCGGTTCATCGTTGGAACTTGCAGTCTGCTCCAGGAAGTATTTTGAGTTCTTCTTCGCCTTTGTCAATCAGCGGTGGCTTGAGAGTTGGGCGGTCGTCCAGACATTTAGGTTCAATCCGACATGGTGAGAATTTTGGCTATTATTTGGTTCTGGTGTTATATCTGTAGAATGCTTGCGTAAAACTCCGCTGCTCCTCTGTGCGCCATTTTCGTGTATTGAATATTGTGGATCCTCTTGGTTGAATAGATCAACTCATAAATTATTCTGAGAACCTTGTGCTGATCAACTCAAAATTACAATCGCCTTTCTTTTTTCTGTTTGTAGGTTTTTATTTTTGTGAGGATTGGCAAAAGCATGCCACTGTACTGTACGCTAGATTTTGCAATTACGTAGAAAAGAAGAAATTTGTAAGCTCTTGTGCCCTCGCAGAATTTGGATATCATGAGCTGGTAGCAAATGTTGCAGCGCACAATGGGGATGGTGGATCTGTTGGGGGCGCGTTAGCGTCTGAGATGAACATTTTTTCCCGAATTGCTCGAATTTTCAGGGTACGTGGCAGCTTTTCCAAGCTTCAGTTTGTAAGAAAGTGCCTTCTGGCAGTGTTTGTTAAAATTCAACTTAAATTTCGGTAGCGGGGATGACCACGAACTCTAAGCACAATACTAAAAATTTCGAAGATCTCATGATTACAATGTTGTTCCTGTAGTCATACGTAGAGCAATTTGTCGGCTCATCGGAAGATCCTGAAAGGATAATCGATCAAGCTGTTGAGGACATGAACACCGACCTCGTCAAGCTACGGCAGACAGCTGCTCAGGTAACCTTTATTTCATTAATCATTACTTACGTTGCTATGCTGCTTATCCAACTCGTCTGCTTCAGCTCCGGATGAAGAAATATATTGCAATTAAATTGCATATCGCCACTATTATTGCCATTATGGGTGTTCTAAGAAGCCTGGGACACATATTATAGGTTGTGGCAGCAAAGCGTATTTTAGAGAACAAGTTCCTTGCAGCTCAGCAGGCCAGCAATGAATGGTTAGTTCCCTATATCAACCTTGTTTCTGTATAAGGTTTGCTGGATGTTTACGCGTGAGAATTTCGAGAAATTATCGCCTACTTCTTAATATATCTACCTAAGACGATATGTGGCAAGCTTTCAGGTATAAGCGAGCGTCAATAGCACTGGAAAAGGGTGATGAAGTATTGGCTAGGGAAGCACTGAAACGTCGGAAAGCATTTGCAGTGTGTTGAATTCTCTCGTCCTTCTTAACTTCGATTGCTTTGTATCCGGTTATTGCAATCGTCCGTTTGTCAGTCTGAACCTGGAGGTCTCTTGTTTTTGGAACTCGTTTCTGAGCTGGCTGTTTCATCGAAAGAATTCAGATTGTCATTTTCGTGAAATATGCATGATCGACGTTTAACCGGTAATATACTACCGATCAAATGTAACAGGATAGTGCGAAGTCGTTAAAATCACAGCTGGATCAGCAAGTGTCGGTTTCTGATCGCATCTTGTCAAGCACACGAATTTTGGAAAGCAAAATTTATGAAGCTCGGAATAAGAAGGATCTGTTGAAGGCAAGGGCACAAAGCGCTAAAACCGCCAAAGAAGTCAATGAGGTTTTGGGCTCAGTGGACACCACGAGTGCGCTCTCAGCCTACAAGCGCATGGAAGAGAAAGGTATTTACTTCCGCCATTGCGAAATTTATAGAGTTTCTCAAGTGTATCACATGCGAAGAGTGTATGAGTGGAAGATTTCATTTGAGTTTGATATTCCTTTTTCTGGTTTGTCTGCATGCATTCATCACATAATTTACATTGCAAATCTTAATGCTCTCTGATACTTGATCTGACAGTGGAGCGATTAGAGGCAGAGGCAGATGCTATAACTCAAATGGCATCTGATGATCTTGGATCCAAGGTGCATTTCATGTCGCAACACCTCGTTTATGTTGTCTATGTTTAGTGCCATAGTGCCATAGCATAAGCTGAGTTCGCTGTTGTGTAATAAATTCCCCATCACAGACACGATCTGCTTGTGCCTAGGTTCATCTGAATGGCTTGCTTGTGTTGGTACGCAGTTTGCGCAGTTGGAAATGGATGTTGATGTCGACGATGATTTGAAGGCATTGAAGAAGAACATGCTTGGATCATCCAGTGCTGCAGCGAAGGTTTGCGACTCACTCTCATACGTGGCTATTCAGTGCAGTTTATTCCATCCTCAGTTTTGATTTCCACTCTTCATGGAGTAATGAATGCCCTTTTGTCCAATTTCACGTAGAGGTATTTTTGGTATGATTCTGCCAAAGTTCTCAATGTCAACATTATTTTCCGAACAGGAATAAGTGCTGTATAATAGAGCATTCTATTTATTAATTTTCTTTTCGTTTGGCAGGTAAGTGGGGAGCTCCCACCGTGGGAGAACGAAGTTCTTCGACCAGACAGGAGACTAAAACCCGAAATTTTTAAACAGTACTGATATCCTCAGCCCAAACCCCCGCCTTTGAGGTGCAATTTTCCTCGCTGGATGATGTATAGCAGATTTTTCAGCAACACTGTAAACTTCTTCCTCGAAGGAAGTATAGTGACCGCTGATGAGGTGAAGCTTAGTGTAAATTAGTTTCTAAAAAAAAACTTCATTTCAAACCATTGTTTCTTCAGGATTCAGCACCGTATCTCGTCAATGCTGCTTGCTGAAACCCATTTCACATAACAGCTCGTTAAAACACATAAGTGCTTCACTTCACAAGGCTCACGGATCATTCCAATTGTGCGACCTTGTTCTCAGCTCATCACCGATAGCTAGTGCAAATCGACACTGCAGGGCCTGAGTGTGAGTAGTTACAGTGAGATGTGATCTACCCCCATGAAAGCTGTAAACTGGACAAAGCAACTTGAATGATGGATTGTTCTGTCACGCAGTGATAGAAGGATGGAACCTTAAAAGATCTACACGCAAGCAAATGTTAACTCTGGATATCTTCAACTCAAAGATACAAAGTGGGTCCACCACCAAGTGCAGTCTTTAGCAGAGTTGTAACTGTTTTCAGAAACCACTATTGTCACTTGTGATATGCCCTGGCAGATACGCATGCAATCAAATTGGCTAAAAGTATTGCATGAAGACTCAAGGTGCGTATCTATCTGTGGGTACGATGAAGAGATCTGAATTTTAGTCAGTCAAGTATTCAAACCCAACATTGTGAGATTTGACAAATGTCATCTTTGTTTTGATGATGATCCAGCATTTTTTTTTTTTTTATTATTTTTTATTTTTTCCTATTAATCATTGGATATTAGATGATTGTTTATAATTAGTAAGTGATCATGTTATCATATTCCAATATTTTTTGACATATTTCATTCCATATGTGTTTGACTACAAAGTGAATGTGTTATCATATTCCAATATGTTTAGGCATGTTTCAACATTTTCATGCAAGAATATTCAATTAATATGATTGTATGGCTTGACTTTGTACATGGTTAAAACAATTTTTCATTGTTACAACTTATTTTTTGTTTTCTAGAACCAAGGTAGTTTTAATAGATTATCATATTAGGGTGTTTTTCATTCAATCTTTAAATTTAATTATCATTTTAATTTGAAAGCTCTTCAAGTTCATTCATATGCACAATTATAGAATATAATCTATAATAATCTGTCTTGAATAGATTTGCGAGTACAAATTCTATTAGGATATGTGCCAATAATTCAAAATTAATTTTTAATATATGTCAATAACTTAAGAAGCCAATTATAATAATCTTCTAACTTTTATAATCTATAATTCAATTTCTCACATTTACCTAAGAAAAGATTAGATCAACGAACTTCTCTTTTTTCCTTGCTGATTTAATAATACTTGAGCTCAAATAAAAAAAAGTATGTTGTAATGATTCTTACTACAAAACTTTGAAATACTCCTTTAACTAGTAAATATTCATAAAGTTATAAGGCAATAAGCTAATGTTATAATCCTTTTAGAAGCATTATCTATGGATATATTTTCCTTGACACAATTAGCCTTTACATAAAACTCTAGGTCTATAAGAACAAATAACAATTCTTTTTTAATCTTTCATCAAAATTTTACTATAAAACCTCAAAGAAAATTTTTATACTTCACTTCTTATTTTATCTTATAATATTTTATCTTATCTTATAGTATTTTTTATTATTTTTTAGTAAATTCTTTTCTTAGACATGTCTTTGACATTGAAGGTATAAAAAATTGAATAATTTTTTTTTTTTTTTTTTTTTTAATTCAAAATTATATTAAACAAAAAAGTTGAATGTATAGTGGTACTCATACATTTTGTGGTTGAATTTTATTTTTATTTTTATTTTTGTCAAATCTAACCAACAAACTAAGAATAGACACCATTTTAATGTATACTTGACATGATTACATATTGCTTTGCTTTTAAAGTCAAAGATTGATTATTCTATCTTTGTTTTACAACCTCAATGTCAAACAAAAGATTTAGGGTTTAGAATTTAAATTTTTGATGAATTATCAAAAGTAGATCTAGTATTGGTTTAAATGAGATTAAAAACTATTTTTAGATTTATATTGATCATTGTTTTGAAATTCATAAGCCATAATATAATTTATTACTATATTTTGGTTACATACTGTTTAAGAGATTCATTTTGCATTTATGTACCTTTTATACATTTTCACAAATTCATTTCTTTAATTTATATCTACTTGAAATGTTGATATTGTATATCTAATATTTTTTTAGCAATTTAAAAATAATTAGAAATTTAGTATAAAAAACAATAAAATAATATCAAAATCAATTTCAAACACAAAATAACTATTCTACAATGGTCATACATGAAAATTTGATTTACAATTCAACTTCACGTATGGGCACCACTCTACAATGTATGAAACTGAAACATGGGATCAACTTTCATGGATAGTTGATATGCCTAAATGAATACTAAGTTGGGTACAAGTCTCTGCACATAATGGAGTAGCTGGATGCCACTTGTGATAATGGTTCATGAACATTCTCGGATAGTCTGATGGTACTCTCTTCATAGTGTGAAGAAAACTATTCATCGATACAAGATCTTGAATCTGTTTTGAAAACAAGGAAAAGTAAATCTATTTTTACGCAAAGGAAGATGCTTTTGCAGCAAGTATGAAAAATGTGCATCACTCAAAATGAGCCTCTCCCAGCTCCCAACACTTACCCAAGAAAGATGCAGGAGGGCCTCTCTAAATGCACGAGTGAATCATTCTATTCATAGTTATGCCATAACAAAAATACCATCAACGAATATTCGAGCTGCATTGCCTGCAGGCATGTGGTGCAAATCAATACACCGGCTCTAAAGATTGAATGTACAGGTTCTTCCTTTAAGAAGAGCACAGTTCTTTGCAAATACGGAGAGATTTAAGGATAGAGGCATGCCTTGCTACCGCACTTTGGCAACTACGTCGGGAACCTCCACATCGTCCCTATTTGCATCTATGCATGAAATACAGAAGGAGATTTTGGTTTCCGTTGGAGGTAGTGTCACTTTGCCAATAGTTGTGATAAGATCTAATAAAGTCAATGACATTCTATCTTTCATCTTTGAGGCAGGTAGGAAATCGGCATATAAAAAACTTTTCCCATATGAGAGCATAGTAATCTGCACAGCATTACCATTCCAAACGTTGTTCCATTATTTCGTGGCACATTATTTATTCACATTATCTTCTGCTCAAAAAACCTTCGCAGCACACCCCCCATGAAAAAGACTCTGATCGTATCTCCAGGGAAAGTGATTCCAACCCAAACCGAAGCAAGACTACATCTCATCAAACAGAGGTGCAAAATAAAATCCCATTGCTGTTAAGAATTAAGAGGTTCTTTACCTGGAGTCCATGCTGGCGCTGAAACTCGGACAGAAATTTTTTCAAAGTCATATTCTGACAATCCATCTCAAATCTGTCCCACAACGTCCAAACTAAAGGATCAAAGTCCTTTCGTAAAACCTGCAGCAACAACGATCACAAAATTTAAGCCAGGTGCCTAACTCAAAGATGTGATAAAATTAGCTAACCTTGTGCTAAACCCTAATAGTCAGACCAGATATGTTACAAATGCACACAGCTTCCGTCTGAAGCCCATGAGAACCACCTAATAATGTCTTTTTGTGAAGTTTTGTGAACTATTACATTTCAATAGTCAGTGCGAAAATACTGCATAGGAGTTTCAACGTACTTTTTCAGACTCACTTATTAAACAGAATAATATGCAATAAAGATGAGGATAATACTTCCAAACAAAGAAAAAATATTCAAAAATCTGACCGTGTGCTCAAATGCTTTGATAGGCTGTGCAAACGTCAACAGAGGGACCGCCAAGTTGAAGTAAGCATGTTTATGTTGCGTGAAAGGTTTTTCCTGAATTAACTTATAAAGCTCCAAACACATAAGACCTCCTACCACTGATGTAGTTGTCGAAATAGCTGGCACGACCCCTCCACCCAGCAGCCTTGCCTAAGATTCACACAACATAATAACTCATCAAGAAACAGACCATCTAGACAAAACTGTACTGCTGATTCTGTGGAACTACCAGAATATTAATAAAATTTGACAGTAATGTTCTACGCAGAAGATGCGATCAGCACGAAGTGTGCAAATTCAGGGGACATACATGACAGATGTTGAAATCAGCTCCTAATTTCAAATCATCAAAACCAGTAGAAATGTTGATTTAACTTAGTGCTCTAACACCTACAATGTTAGTCACACGTGTACGCAAAGCAGAAGATACATGCAAATAGTTACTTAAAAATTTAACAAATGACAAAATGAGCACCTGCAATTTATCAGCGCTAGGAATGCCGTAATTTCGTCCCCTCAGACTTGAGGCTGCGGCTACAAACTCAGCATGGTAATTAAGCTCATCGTCCTTTTCAAACTCAATAGGTACTAACCTATAGCCCTGCAAGCATTTGTAATAAAATAGGATATAATCATCAAAACAACCATGCGGAGTGAAACCTGAAAGTACCTGAAAGTCGGCTAAAGTTTTCAAAATGCCACAGCTATACGAAAGTATTACCAAGGTCCCAAAAAAAAAAGAAGAGGCAGCACCTTCATACTTTACACTCATAACTCTCAAAACAAAGAAATGTTAAAAGAAGAAATTTATAGAAAACTATCACAGACAAGTGCTACATGGATTATCATCTAGCTCATGTACAAACAATTTTAACGTCAACAAATAGCAGGTAGAAGTTACCGCAAGGGAAGCAGGAGCGGGAAGCTCTCTCAAAATTCTTTCACATGTCGCAGCAGCATCATTATCTCCTGAACTCTTATGAGAATTTGATCGATTCCGCAATTCATTATCTGTTACCGCTATTTTTACCCCTTCCTGCGTCGCAGGCATTAGTTCTCAGAGACCGGAGATAAACCAACTTCATCTTTCGAGGGTAGTTCACACGTTCATGATTACATTACAGCCGTAACAAGGAACTCCATGGTACTGGAAGCCCAAGGTGAAAGAATAGTGTGAGGGACACGTGATAAATCAGCTCGAGGAACCTTACACATTGCTTGATGAAACCTTCAAACAAATCCAAGGAAAAACAATGTATTCCAGAAAAGGACCGAGGGAAAAATGAGTCTTTGGGGACTGCTTACTTTAGGTTCAAAAGGAGGGACGACAACACGCTGAAGAAGATCTAAAAAAATGGCCCGGTCTTGACATCCTTTGAGACCATAGACAATAGCTTGCAGGTTAGCGGCAGCCATGATAAATTCAAGATGGAGGTCATCAGTGGCATCGAAAGTTACTGGTGTTGGAAACCTTTTTGTACCACTCCAGAATGGAGCACCAGCACTTGTGGTCATATCCGCTGGGAAGTTAAAACAAAGCTGCAGATAAACAAAAGAATAAAAAACTTCCTCAAATACCAAAATACGTCAAGCGACCTATTCGGTCCATCACTTAATAGTCTATGATGACTATGAATTAAGAGGATTAAATAGGGTTCCTACAATAACCACATAGGGAGTGCTTACATCAGATTAGTCAACGTCGAAGAATGCAAGCTCAATTTTGGAATTACAAATTAGAGGGACGATATGACATAAACTCAGCTACATGATCAAACTCAAAGCATAACTCAAAGCTGCACACAATATGCCAAATTCTGGTTTTCATAAATAGCGGTGCACCTGCTTGATACTATTGGAAAACAAATCCTCAAATTGTAGACGCGCCCACTGTACGCATGAGTCAAAACTGGGCAGCATAACCCCGTAAGAGTAATTCAACTTGATTTACACATATACTGTCCTCACTTCTGCCTACTAAGCAAAGAGAAGATTCTTAAATATTTCCGTGCAAGCACGCAACCAATAAACAACGTGGTCATGTTAATTACTGATCAATAGAGCTATATACGATATAACAAGAGTGAACCTGATCAAGTCAACTTAAAAGAAGGTATCAATCAAAGAAGAAAGCTGAGGAATACCTTAAAGGCCGGTGTCGCACAAGAGCATCACGAAGAGTTTCTAATATAGGAAGCCTCGATGATGCTGGAGATTTACGTGTAGATTCTTGGAAGTCACGACTGGATAAATAAGAGTTCACATCAACTGGTCTAAGCTTAAAAAGTGACTCAAATGTCTCCACCGCCCATCGAATGGTATGTTCCATCGCGTAAGGAAAATTCCTTATAGTACAAATCGGCATTTCCTTGTGCTCAGGGGGGTCTCGGGTAGAAGCATACATTTCTGTCTGAAATGGTACAAATACCTGAAATTGCAATGAAGATATTGGAACTTGTAAGTCTGCATAACAATAAAGTTCTTAAGCGAGACATTAATCATATAACATTAATCAGGTCTGAAAGGCGTCAATAGCCAAACCTGAACACTGCCTTTGGTTCCATGCTTGCCACCATCAACCATAGGCCTCCTGTTGGAAACGCATCGGGTGTCTAGGTATAGCCTAGATGACGAAGTATCCAAAGCTGAAAATACACCTATTCATCACAAGCCGGGCCTATATCAGATAGGAGTTCGGAAGATCAAAGGACAAGAAACTACTTCCACGACTTCCAGAGTAACCTCAAGCGATGACGAAACGCTACAGACTGATGGCCAGAACTACTATACCTGCTATTGAGTTGAAAAATGAGGAGTCAAATATAGCCTCCGTCTCTGGATCAAACCTCTCCTACACAAAGGCAGGTCGATTCTCTAATAAAAATCTCAAACTACAAAATGACAGCCTTAAACACCAATATATACACATGTATCAACTCGGTTGAGGTAGATAACGATTACTCAAGAACATATCTACGCATGCAAGCTGTTGCCATGTTCCAAAAAATAATTCGCTACCTAAAGCGCTTACTAACAAAAAGAAAAAGAAAAAATAGAAAATAAAAAGAAGAAAGGAATGAACACGTAAAACTACCTGAAGGGCATGTATTTGAGCTGCAGGGTTGATGTTGCGCAAGGCTCTCGCGGCAGTTGGCGCCTTAGCACGACCTACATCCTCAGGTTGGTACAGCACTTGATCGATCAAGTTGGGCTTCGACACTGTATCCATGTCCGTTACAGTGATATTGCCATTTGAGCTACAGCCCACACCCATCAATACTAAGTCCTTAAGAGATTCACAACCTAATCCTCCTGCCCCCACCACAAGCCACTGAACTCACACACACCACACATGCACTCTTAGTGCTTTATACACCACTTACCTGAATTAAACATAACCTGAATAGATAAATGACTTTTTAATATACGTTGCATCATAAAAAATATGACAACCGAAAAAGAAAATAGCCAGTGACATACACATAAAACAAAACCTGCGAGACTAACATTACAAAACTGTTTCAATACCTGAAGACTGCCTAGCTTCTCCTGAAATTCTCGGCCAAATAAAGCAATCTGATGATCGTAACGAGAGCCACAAGGCAACCTCTCTTCAGATGCAAGTGATGGACTAGGCAGACACTCCACAGCATCGAAGTAGAGCCATTGCTGAACTGGCGTGAACACCCTAGTTAATGCCTGCAAATAGCAAACTCAACCATCTGAGTGCAACCATGACAAACCACAGAGCACACCCAAGTACTCAATAGTACCAAAGCTTACATCCACCGAGCTGAAATTTTCTTACTTAGACCAACGCGAAAGAAACATAATTAACCAAAATAATCAATAGCTCAGGTCAAAGGCAAAATCAGACTTGGACGGCCGGTTCATGTTATCAATTTCTTGAACAGGGCGCGGCACCTCAGAATTCATGACATGCCCACAAAAACAGCAGAGCGCCATCAAAATACAAGCAAGCACCACTAGGGCATCTGAATGAAGCCCACGCCACATTTCCTTCCGAATAAGGAAATAGTTATCTACATTTCAGCTGGCTACGATGAAAATATACCTTAATAGCCTCCTGTGCAGCAATACCTCCCGTCACGGCAGCTATAGGGCACAGTTCCACATGTGCACCCAACGCAATGAGCCGTACTGTTTCCTCGATTGCATCAAAACTGCTATGATGTAACCCTGTTGGTAGCACTCCACCGGCTGCTTCGATACCGGCTCTACTGGACTCACCACCTTGAAAATCAGCTCTATCTCGGTGTAATCCACCCCTCTCGCCAAGTCCTTTCAACAAGGCCTCGTTTGACTCCTCTTCCGTTCCACCTGTGTTCCCTTCCATTGCGTAGTTACCACTGTGGATGCCCTTCCCAACATGCAGGGCCTGCAAATTTGACCAGATTTCTCGAGCCGACGCTATCACTTCGTGCAATTGATCAGAACTTATTGTACTTGTCCTGGGGGGTGATGACGCATCAGCAACATGACGTCTTTCAAATTCGTCCACAGCTTGAAAGCCGACGTGAATAGCCAGGGCTTGGGAAGCTTTCACTGAGTCGCTAAAACAGAATTTTGGAGATAGAAGAGCTTTCTCTAAAGACAGAAACTCCACATGCTTAGGCGTCTTCAGCTTGGTAAAATATCCCCCTGACAAATAGCGCCCATATGCTCGTGTATCTTCCTGTATTATAAATGAATGCACACCAGTCACAGTCACTAAATACGGAGTGTCACGGTTCAACTCCTCCATACCCTTGATCCCACTAAAGACCACCTTGTCTCCATTTTCGAGACCATGCCTTTGCTCTTCAACCACAGTCACTGTGGCAGGGAAATCCTGAGTAATACCCTCCAACAATATCGGCCCAGCAGGCTCCCCTGTCTCGTCCAGGATCGAGAAATTATCACCAAAATCCGCGAACACAAATGAGAATACCCCGCGACAATTCGCCGCTACAAATGGCACTCCTAATGACCGACAGACAGAATTTAAGTGGATTAGGTCGGGATATGAGCCACTTGTCGCCACAATAAACCCGTAGCTACCCAGTGAACTCTCCACCGCAACACTCGACAGAGTCACGATGTCCGCACTCGGGTACATTTCTTTCAATTTCTGCGCGGTAGCAACCGCTCGATTCCTTCCCACATCGGCCTCACTCAAACAAAAATTCGCTCCGAGATCAGCTAAAACAACCACCTCATCATCCACTAACCCTAACCCTTGCACCCCAGACAACACCAAATTCTTCGCAACCTCGGCTCCCAATCCCTTGCACCCTAACACCAATACCCGACTCTGATTCAACAAATTCACTGCACCCCTTCCCAGTGTATAAATCAACCGCGAGTACCACAGCTCGTTCGCCTCCTTCGACAGGGCCGAAACCACAGCGGAGCTGTTAATGCCAGCGTCAGAGGCATTGTCCACGTCCATGGTCACCATCCTAAATCCCGAATTCTCAATTCCCTCGGCTCTCAGCATCCACGAACAATTTCGCCCTTTCTCTCCGTCCCCGTAAACTTACTTCATCTCTTCGTACTGCGCAATCTCCCACCCCCATGCGCGAATTCTCACAACCTGCTCCGAACCAAACACAACAATCTCATTAACGATGCCCACCTGCAATCTAGCACGCGACTCCTTTACACATCGTGCCCACAGCGGAAGCAGCGAAACATTGCCATTCTGAACATCGAGGCAAAGGGCATTCAATATTTGCTTTACCCGAGCGATTCGAGGGAAAGTCCCGCTTGGTAGGTTCCTCTACCGACCTACTGGAAGGACCGGGTGGGGTCAGCGACCGGGTGGATTCTCCTCGGTAGGGAGGGAAATCATCGATTCTGGATGAACAACAGATGGATGTGCCAGCTCGGATTCCTTCCTCGTGGAATCCCAAGCCCACATTCTCGCTTCTATTATTAAAGCACATGTATTTTTACCTGGATTTTTATAATATCTAAATAAATACACATGAGACTTAATATACTGTTCATTGGTGCTTGAAACAGTGAGAAAAAAGGACATGCTCCTTGACTGTTGACTCGAATTCGGAAAAAAATTATTTTTTAGAGGCCAACCCACAAGAAAGGAATTGGCTAACCCTCTTTAAAAGTTGGATATAAAGGTTAATTATAGGTGCATCCTCCATAGCACTACGCATTACAATCAATATGTAGGTCATTGATCACTAATATGGTGTTATTAGAAGACGAAAACTCATGTTTTGGTAATTATTGCTTTATGATTAATTGTATGTTTTTCTATATATACATATATACATATATATACATATATATACATATATATACATATATACATATATATACATATATACATATATATACATATATACATATATATACATATATACATATATATACATATATATACATATATATACATATATACATATATATACATATATACATATATATACATATATACATATATATACATATATACATATATATATATATACATATATACATATATATACATATATATATATACATATATACATATATATACATATATATATATATATACATATATACATATATATACATATATATACATATATATACATATATATACATATATATACATATATATACATATATATACATATATACATATATATACATATATACATATATATACATATAAAAGTAAGGGAATGTTAAATAGACCCAAGTTTTCACAAATTTGACCCATCCATCCAAACCATCATAGAAAAATCAAAAAACCTCTAGATTTATTTTTACATTATTGGATCTATAACTAACAAAAATCAACCACATTCATTATAATTATCATATTCTTTATCAATGATGGATGAATTTAGTAAAAATATGGATCTATTTAACATTCTTATATATATATATATATATATTAATCATAATTGTATTGATGTGAAAAAAGTGTGTTTCAAAATGCAAATTTCATTAGCCATTGCCAAAATAAATAGTTCATATTTCCCATAGCAATATCATGTATTTATTAGATTGATTTGAAGATGGAATTCAATTAATTTTTTTCACAAATCTTATACAAACACATGAAATTTTCAAGTAATGAATCCAAAAGATGATCTTTTATCCTAAAGACAATTATTTCTTATATCAATAATTCAAAATATAATAGTGGTCACTTCAACCATCTTTAACATTTACATTTTTAATTTAAGATATAATCAAATTGAGTATTATAAAATTAATGAGATGCATCAACATCAATATTATGCCAATAAGGTTATATTTTTAATCAAATTAATGTCTAATTTTTTTTTAAAAAAATTATTAACAAGAGACAAGAGATAATTGCTAAAGATGGAAGATAAATAAATATTACTTTGAATAATAAAAAAAATCAATATATTTTATTTTATTTTTATTAAATTTAAATATTATTTTATAAATATTATATTTATATATTTATATATTAATATTTTTATTAAATTTCCATCATATCAAAGTAATTATTTAAAAATTTTAATATTTCAATGATAGATCATTAAATACAAAGTATCTAAAAAGCTAACTTAAGAAGAATGCAATATGATGTTTAGATTAAATATATATATATATGTGCCAAAGACATGGAGCTCAAAGAATTAAAATGTCAATATATTCTTATGTGACTCAAAAAGATTAGAAAATCATCCAAAGATGATATAGTATTAAACTAGAATGGCTATTGCCAAAGACAAAAAGACTTAGAAAGTATTGAGATAAGACTAAGGACTAAAAAGACATTGACAAGAGTAAAAAAGGCTTCATTTTTGCCTCCATATATACTCTTAACTAGGAGCTATGTCACAATGTCCTATGGGACCTCCAAAATATGTTGACTTTGCAAGGCATGTATCTTAACTTGCAAGGCAAATTTTCTATATATGCGCTACATAGTTAGCTTGTTTTGTAAGCTACTAATACGTGATTAATTTGTTGATCAAGTTTCTAACCTATCAATCAACTATAAATACATGTAAAGTCAAATCAACGTCTATAAAGCTTCTATGAAGCATCTCTAAAAAATATTATAAAATAAATGTATTTTTATCAACTTCTTCTTAATCACATATATATATATATATATATATATATATATATATATGTGTGTGTGTGTGTGTGTGTGAAATTATCTCTCCTTTTAGGAATAAATTCTACAAAGAATAGTCATCATATATTGAAGAAATCTAAGATGCGACAAATTGTCTTTGCTACATACTTTGATCTTTGTTCTCTTTGAAGATGGCTAATAGGTCCTCTCAATAATTGATAGTGTTTTATACTAGGGCGGAAAGACTATCTTGTTATTTGATCATTATTAAGGCTTTTATAACTCCTTTCAAATAAAACACTTGGAACACTGTCAAGAATCATTCCTACCTCTAATAAAATCACCAAACATCAAGAGTCTTTTTCAAGGTTGTGATATCAAAAATGTTGTTGTGTGGCATGATTTGTAATCTGAGAATACACATAGTATCAAGCTGTAGAAAGTTTAGTTTTAATTTATTAACTAAGCTTTGAAAAATGATTTATTCCATCTTTAACTTATATACAAATTCTTGGCTTCCAAAACCTCTTTATTTTGCATAAAAATTCAAAATATAGTAAAATTCCTTCAATTTGTTTTGTTTTGTTTTTTTTGTTTGTTTTTTTGTTTTTTTTTTTTTGTTTTTTTTTCTCTCCCAAAAGATTTTTTTCGTCAAAATTCAAAATCTTGTATCTCTTGATCTAATTATTCAATTTTTTTCAAATTTTTATATAACATAACTATTATTCTTAAGCTTTTTTAAAAAAAAAAAAAAAAAAAAAAAAAAACCTAAACTGTAAATTTGCTATCAATCTTTTGGCATCTTAGAAATCTTAGCAAGTGCTCTAAATCCTAATTTATAAGCATTCAAGTACTATTTTCTTCATATCTCAAAAAATCAAAATTCAAATGCTACAAAATTTGTGTACAAACTTTATCAATATGATTATATTCATTCTTAAAATAATTTAGCCAAAATTTTGTCAAATTGCTCAAGATATAGCTCAAAATACAACCACTAGTAAATCATATCACTTACTACCCTTAGATTGCAAGTGCTGACTTTAACCTTCAATATTTTCTTCATCTCAACTTAAAATTTATTCAGGAATATGCGAAAAATATAGCCAAGAAGGTTTTCTCTTTAATTCCAATTGCTGATCTTTTATTGGATTTTTTATGGGTGCATTATATCCATAAGAGTGACAATAGGTACAAAATTGACACCTTAATTTTAAGCACCTATATTTCTTTCATAGAAACTCTAAATCACTCAAAAATTTTACCAAAATCATAGTCAAAATCTTGAACTTGCTAATTCTAACCTTTACAATTGAAATAACTTGAAAGAATAATCCTAATATCTAATAAGGCCTTGGATAGCCTCCTAAAAGCCCATTGGGCATGATTTTTGGCTGATAAGAATAGAAATTTTCATCATCTATCTCCATTCATCCATATGGATGCCTTAACTTCTCTTTTTCCTATCAAGATCCGTCTTCAATCTTAGTTTTAATAAGATTTATATAATATATGTCCTAAACATCAAATAAAATAAATAAAATAAGATTTTAAGAGTTACTAACATCTAATAAAGGTGGCTCTAAATATATAAAATTATTATTAGTATAAAATCAACTTCAATAATATTTCTTTTAAATTAACTACTTCAAAGTAATAATCTAATCATATTTTGTGATTAACTAAAATCTAATAATGAGGTTCTTACTATATTGTATAGTAAATTTTATACTAAATATTTATGTGCATTATTTTCACATAGTAGCAAAACCACAATACAATATCTACCCCCTCCAAACCTATGCATCCTCCGATATGTACCAAAAAATCAAAATTGTAGTTAGCGTCATATTATTCCCTCAATATTGTCTTTTCATAATCCATGTCCTTTTCTTCATTTGTAAAGAAATCAATGTCTTTTCCAATATCTTCATGAAATTTTTTTTGCTTTAATTAGTATTATTCATCAATTTTGTTATTATTTATTTTATTTATTTTATTTTTTATTTCTATTTAAATTTTTTTTTTAGCATACTTTTTTGAAAAAATCTTCTAAACATGTTCCTATATATACATATGCTATATAATCATCTTTATCAAGCACATCTACTTTTTTTAGGTCTTTTTCAAATTTTTGTATACTTCTTTGTAGCCATTTTTGTAAGTTATTAAATTATATATGTATCACGGATATATACCTACTATAATCATTATCTAGATAGATAGAATTAAGTAAAAGTAGATTAATTTTATAATATATTCTAGAAAAGCTTCCTAAAAGCTTCCTAGATGTTGTTTTGACTTTATATATGTTTGTAGTTGATTGATAGGTTAAAAACTTTGTCAACAAGCTATCCATGCGCCACATAGATTGGTAGCATGTAGAACAAGTTAATTATGTGGCAGCCATATGTAAAACTTATTTTGTAAGTCAAGATGCATGTCATGCAAAGTCAACACGTTTTTGGAAGTCATATAGAATGTCGCTACATAGATCTTAGATAGATAGTATATATAGAGGCAAGACTGAAGCTTCTTGTCAACTCCTTTCTTACTTCTAGTCTAGATTCAAGAATATTTAGTTTCTTTGTCTTTTGGCAATAGCTATTTCAATTTTTTTTTTAATATACATACTAATTTATT